GAAGATCAGTGGGTTATGCCAGACATTCAGGAAACAAGTGGAGACTGCAGTGGTGACATCTGGAATGACGCAAATGGGCACTGGTGGTACAGCTGTTGAACTAGAGGTTTCCATGTTCGCTCTTTGCTGGCAGGTAGAGGGGTGTATTGTTTTGCTTTACCAAAATAAAAATGTCTAGCTCGTGCTAGACATTGTGATTTCCACAGGCTTTTCTAAGAGTGTAGCCAGCAGCTGAATTGTAAATCAAGCCCATGTCATCCAGGTTCAGCTCTCACCAAACTCTTCATTAAGGTTAGTCACCTCCATTATTTCTTATCTTTTAAAATAGGTGCATCCTCTTTCTTGCTGTAGGTTAATATCTGCTTATTTTTCTGCCTGAAGTTCGTCTTTGTCAGGATGAACTTTCTCAGCCCCGGGAGCTGATAAAGCTATAGAGAGACCTTTAGGTGATTTGCAGGTACAAAATCTTAGTATTAATAGTCTTACCAGAAGAAGGGAAAAAAGTCTAGTTTTCATCTAATAAGTAAATACGAATGTCTGACAGATGTACGAAAGTACTTCTAAAATGCTGAGGTTTTCGAGGTGTGATTTAAGAAGCACATAATGCAGGACTCTACAGAATTGTACAAAGTACAGACATTTCTGACCTTGCAACATAAAATAGGGTTAGTATTATTAAAGAATGATAGCTCTGCAGTTGATATCATTAAAATGGAAACAATGTTCTTTTAGAGGTACCATGGACAATTAATGACAGGGTAATGTTCCCATTATGCTGTCTTTACTTTTAGATTAAAACTCAGCTCATGTTTCTCGGTTTCTGATGTCAGTGCCCTGTTTCCTTTTTCTCCAGCCATCTCAAAAATGTAATGTGTGGGGGGAGACTTAAGTTTCTGCACTGGAATTATAAAATATTTGGCACTTTCCTTCCTGTTCTATGCAAGTTTTACCTCTGTAAAAATTTAAAACAACAATATAAGGGGAGAAATTGAGCAGAATGTATATTTTGTAGATACAGACTTCTGCTTACATTTAGATAATAAGCTTTAATGTAACATCTAGAACTTCTAAGTATTTGGAATATATGTACAAAAGTACTTTCAGAGGAAAGGGTGTTTAATAACACTCATAGCTCTCAAGTAAGCAGAGAATGTTTATATGGGTATAAACAAGACCAGATTCTGAATCGAAGGTCCTAAGTACTCAGTTGTGAGACTGCAAGATTTTTTTGAAGAACCTGCCTCTACTGGCAGAGAGAGGTAGGAGAAAGTACAGGATATCGGATTAGCTTCAAAAATTCTTGCTAAAATGTTGATTTTTAGAAAGAAAATATTAGCACATGGGACTATCCCACTTCATTTTTCAATCATGCATGTTATTCTCAGCAAGAGAAGAAAACAGTTTAAGAAGTGGGAGGACATGATATATTGTAGCTGTAAAGGTTCCTTTTCCTATAAGGCTTTTCCTTATTTAACAGGGGTGTAACCGAGTAAGGCTCTTGAAGTTTTTGTATTTGTCATAGTTCATCTTTGTGTCGGGTTCTAGTGATGGTATTAGGGAAGTGCAAGTGCTCCTGCAGTGGAACAGTTCTCTATAATCTGAGAAACACGCTTTTTGCAAATGAGGTCCTCAATTGTATTGTTGGTGGCCTTGCAACTACTTCTGTAACTTTCCAAACATATTTGGTAGTGGTGTATATTGCATGGTGGTATGTACTTGTTTGCTGTGACCCTGTATTGCAAGAACTTTGGACGTTTTGAAGAGCTCCCCTGTAATTGGACTTGCAATTTCCATGTTATGATGTATTAAAAATATTGGGCAAATTTGATGCTTAAATACGATAGGCATCTTGTTGTTAGCGGCTAGAATTTTGTTATTTCCTGTTTTGTCATCTCTTACAAGATGATACAATTGCAGTGAAAGCGAAGCAGGATAAGGGATCTGCATCCGTGTCTGGATGAGAGCCACTGCAGGATTTACTGTTAGTAATTCATGAAGTGCCAGCTCTCTTTTCGAGGCAAGTGGTATTCTGCAAGTGCAGTGGATGCGGAGCCTGTACACAGGAAATCAGTCTTTACCCCTTAAGGTTTTGAAGTGCCTAGAGAACTTGGAGGAACGATATTTTTTACTTGTGGTATGGCAGTATCTTCAGCTGGACTTGTGGCATCCTGTCTGCCTATGCTTGCCTTGGAATTTTAGTTTGAGACCGTTGTTTTATGCTTTGAAGGTTGTTCCACAGTTTGCAGTTTAAAGAATGCAAATATTTCATTTTGGAGTCTGAATTTCATTGTGATTGTGGTTTGTGTGAAAATTGTAGAGTGGTTTTCTTTTTGGATAGAGGTGTTATATTAATGTTCAGTTTAATATTGGAAGGGTGTAAGAGAGAATATGGGAAATACCGGTCTAGGAAGACTGATGTACTTCTACGCATGCTGCTTAGTGTAATTCTGGCTAAACCTGCAATAATACTTCTTTTTCAAGTTGTATTGTGATAGAAGGCTGGAAGCTAATGGAATGTGGCTGGGTAGAGAGATCTGAGGGAGTAGTTCAGGTTTTTTATTCTTCTCAGTTTTGTAACTGGGCTTGCCTTATAGTAAGGGATTTGGAGATGTGGTTCCAGGTAGCTGACTTGCCATGTAAGAGATGAAGCAGAACTTGGGAAGTGCTCTCCTAAAGAGATGCTTAAGTGATGACTGTAAATACCTAGGACTGTTTCATACTCTGGCCCCAAACCTGTGCTTGAGAAGTAACTGCTCAGTCCCTCTCCCTTGTGGTGTCCCCCCACCTTCTCCCCCAAGCTGTCTACATTTTCTGGCAGTCTCCATAGCCTGTCCTCTTTTCCCTGTCTGCTCTTCCCACTCGTCCTCACCAGCGGCTGGTATCAGCCAAGAATCTGTTATGGAGGTGCATATCTCACCATGCAGCTTGCCTCTGATGCATAAGTGATTATTGCTATTAGGTGTGAGGCTGCTGACGAAGACATCACCCCAACCTGATGAATTGTTTGGGAAGTAGCTACAGCCCAAAGTATCTGCAAGCTGGCTGAGTAAGAAGATAAGTTTAAACTCCAACAGAAGGATGTCTTCTTCTACAGTTATAATAATAAAATTGAGTGAGAATGCTCCGTGCCGTGCCTTGACTGTTAGTACCAGTGTTTAGGAGCTCGATGCTTTGCAACGTCAGCAGCTGCTGTTTGAAACAAAGCTGAAATGTTTTTCTCCTGTTTGGAGCCCCGATACCTTGCTGAGGTTAACCTTATCTCATTCGCTGGGGCAAAGGCCATTACAGCTAGCAGGCTAGCTCAAAGGATACTAAGAAGTGAAAATAACACATGATTTTAGAGCACTGGGTCACAGTATACTGGGTCCAAACAGCACTGCCAGCAGCAGAATTCAATCAGTAACTACTCCTGGGACACTCGCTCTTTGCGATGCTGGTCTTCTAACAGTGATGCTTTGTTGACGACTTCTTGGGCAACGTATAGTTGAGGGAAGGGTCTGTTTGCAGAATGGTTCTGGAAGACTGAATGACTTAAAGACCACCATGACTTAACAAGCAACATAGTAGACCTTGTTGGTGAGTCATTAAAAAGTTGAAGACTTCAGCATTCCTTTACTGGGGCAAGGTGTAACAGACCTTAAAATCCCTTTGTTCTGATTGTTGTGCGTCTGTGGAGTCTGTAAATAACTGGGATTGCACAACCAAGGTAGTTCTCCCTTGGAAATTTGATATTGAAGTTCACTTTGGTGCCTGGTTCAAGTGATCTTCAGTGTAACAGCTCCTACTGTTGCTTTAATAGAGCAGGTGGAAAAACAAGCTGGTAATCATTGCCACATTTTAAGGACCGATATGTTTCCACCTGCCAATGCAAGAAGCTTTTGGCAGAACAGTGCAAAACATTTTAATACCATGAACTTTTCCAAGCAATGTCTGAACCTCAGTGGTCTGAAGAAAATGTTTGTTACTGGGCACAAGCACGCCAGTGTCTGGAAAGCCAAGTGTTGTGCCTTGTGCCAAAGTACAGAGCATAAGACAGATGAAGGGAGACGGCTAACTCACAAGCACAGGGTGATCAGCTGGAAAATAATGACTGACTTAGTAATGACGGACTATAAAGCACCGAGCTAGACGTTTGGCTAGTTAGATTTTAGTTCTGGTATTGAAGATGTCTGGCTCCAGTAGCTGACAGAAAGATGATTCTTTGTGAGTAGGTGAGTCTTAATTAATGCAGGATTTGTACTGGGAGTGGTATTTGTTTTCCTGATAAGTGTCATCATATGAAGGCATATGATAACCACTGAAACCTTTCTTTGGCCTATATAAATTTGATAATGATCATTTGCTGCAGATTTCCAAGGTGCCAGACAGAGTTAGCTGAAGCTTCCTGGCTGGATTAGCCTTCGTGGTCATCACAGAATTGCTCAAACTTTCTTTAATCTCTAATGAAGTACAGCTTTTGTTGAATAAATACAGATTTAATTATAAATGTTAATTACAGTTATTAAACTAAATTATATCAATAACTATAGTTAAGTTACATGTATAGATTTGTTAGCACATTAGAAAGCCACAATTCTGAAAGGAACTTCCATAACAATGCATAATTGATGGTGTTGGTAGGATTTATTGAAGCACTGCATTGAGTGCTAGTGCCTGTGCTTCAGGTGGTGTGAGGCTGGAAGGGTTTGGGGGTAAGTGCAAGAATAATGTTGAAATGAAATCTGATATGAGGAGAGGGTCTTCAGACACAAAACAACAATCAGATTTATCGAAGGAGAGGTTAAGAAATTACTTGAATACAGTTACAAGTTGGGAAAAGGTACATTTTGTTTGTTGCCGTGACCTTAAAAAAAATAGTAATGATGAGATGCATTCGTAAGATAGTCTAAGGGTTGGCAGCTAAAGTTACACAAAGACTGATGAGAGTGCAGCCTGTACAAATGAGCATCGTTCACCTCTAGAAAAACTTCCAGTTCTGATTCAAAACTGGATGCTCTTCCATGAAACAAGCGGTGGTTCAGTTGAGTTTTGCCACGGGGATCTGGGAGTGGAAGGCCATTGCCAGTGTTGTTCGGTCAGTGCATGGTTTTTAGTGATCCCACAACCTTAAAACATACACTAGGGTGTAGTTGTAGCGTGAACTGTTAATAGACTGAGGGCTGTGAGATTCCTGGAGTCAAAGGCTCGATGCTAAGGAGACAGAGCTGGTGAGCAAAGCAAAACACTGGCGTTCCCACATGCGGGACCGCGGACGAAGTGGATGGCGGAGCTGGGACACGCAGCAGCAGATCTTACGGGGTGTTGCATACAAATCTAAAAAAAAAATAAGAGGAAAACACACTATGCTTAATTATTTGTAATTGGGGAGCAAGGGGGATTGATTTTTGGGGTTAGGGTGAATATTTTGATTTCAGCCTTTTTAATAGAGATTAAAATCTAAAAGTTTCCATCCCTAAAACATCAGAAGGGGCCCTGCGGGAGCTGTTTGAATAACTAAGTTCAGGAGGGTTTGGCCTCACATCAGAAGCGTTGGTTGCCTCCAAATTCCTGTCCAGTGGGGCTGCAGCACCTCCTGCCCTCTGCCAGCAGGCTGCTGGGTAGCGTGGCAGGACGGGGAGAGCGAGCGCTGGGAACTCCTCCAGCCGCAGCATTGCAGAGAGGTAGGGGATGAGGCGTCCCTGCTGGGTTTTGTCCTTTCTACTAATATTAACACACTTTTTTCCCCCAGATAACCAAAATAAAATTAAGACTCTTTCAATAATAGCTGTTGGTATAGATACAAAAATAACACGAGTGCTATTTTGAAAACATCAGACTGAAGTGGGTAGGAGATTATTAAATGAAGACTGCAATATTTTCCGAATATCTTGCTTTCTTCCTCTTTTTTGTTTTCATTTTGGAAATCTTGGTTTGTTTGGTGTATGTTTCAATTTGTATTCCAAAGATTATAATTTACGTTAGTTAGGTTCCCAGTGAGCAGCGAACAGTCTCCAGTCTCTCAAAACCATATTAAAATGTGATAACGGAGGAGGTATTTTTTTTCTATGTTCTTGTTTGTATAGTTCAATTTCTCTTAAATTAGAAATGTGAATTTTTAATGGCAAATGTTACCACGTGCAGGGAAATCAGGTTTGGGGTCTATTCTCACTCCTTCCAAAACTGGCAGAATTGCAGCAGTTTAAGGGGCTGCAGAGCCTTTGAAAGGGAGCTGAACCAAGCACATGATGAGGTTATTAGTTACCATCACTCATACGCGTGTAGGGGAAATACCACAGCCATCGACTGCGTAAAGGAAGCCAGGTGGGTCACACCTGAAGGCAGTGTTGGGGCCTCAGCTGGATCGCTCCCGAGCCGGCTCAGGGCGGGTGGCCTTTGCCCTCTGCTGTGCAGCATCCCTTCCCGTTATTTTCACGGGGCTGCATCTGTGCAGTAGCTTAGTTACTCATTCCTCTTGTGGAGGTTTTCTGTCCAAAGGGTACATTTCCTTCCGGGCTCAGCCAAGGTGTTTAGGAGGGAGGGGAAATCCTGTTTATTAGAAGACTTTCATGTTCTCTCTCCTTGCAGTGGAATCTCGTATGTGACAACGACTGGAAGGGACCCCTGAGCACCTCCCTGTTCTTTGTGGGCGTCCTGCTAGGATCTTTCGTATCAGGACAGCTCTCAGACAAGTAAAGTATACACACCAGAGCTTCTGGCTCTTCGTTTGGTGCTGTTTTGTAAGCAATTCTTGTATGTGAAGTTTGCTATAAGTGTCTTTCTGCAACTACTAACATGTCTTTGTTCTGTGACTGTCTAATCTGAGTGTACACAGAGAGTATAGAGTAACCGTCCTGAAGTACAACAGAATGGTACAAAGGTTGTTAGTGAGTGTTATCTTTATCTGTTTATTTTTTCAGTGAAATCACTTCTGGAGCAAACTGTTCTTATGCCAGAAAACAGGTGTAGGAGATAAGTTTCATCTGGAAAAATCAGATCAATGACATTCTCTTCTAATTACTTTGGACTATGTTCAGAGTTCCCCAAGGCTTGTTTTCCTTTTTTTGAGGTCGAATTTTAAATTCTCTTTTTATAAACACCCATAGCTTCTTTTCCTCATCATCAAATATAACATCTAAGTCCAATGACCTGTGTTTGTGGAAGCTGCAAAGCATGAATGCTGTTCAGCTTGTACTTCAGAGAAGCAAGGCTTTCTTGTTTGGGGATTTTTTTTTTTCTGTGTTTCTAGTTGCAGAGTACGCTGGCTTTCTTGTTTATCAATACAAACATGAAAAAATGGAAGACACCATGAATTTTTGTGATGTTGACAGGTTGTTGGTTTTGGGTTTGTGGTTTTTGTTTTTTTTTTTCCTTTTAAAGCTCAGTTTTTCTTATTGTCTCCCTGAGATTTGCTGTGCTGTCTTCCTGATTCCCAGAGAACAATATGTGGTCCTCTAATTTGCTGATTTACTTGTAGAGTTTCTGTTTCTTTGAAACGTAATCCCTCTGCCACAAATCTTGTAGAATCCGTTCAGGGCCTTTGCGTGGTTTCCTGCTCATCAAGTTGGACCAATCTTGAGCTTGGAGACTATGATCCTTAAAAATCAACCAGCTCCCCTGGACTTCTCTCCAGAGCCAGATGCCATGGGATTTGTCCAGGCAGATCCCTGATCAGGCCAATGTTTGCTTTCCCTGTGATCCTGCCTTCTGCCTTGTTCCTCCCCTCATGATCCTGCACTTCACCATCGCACAGCCAGCAGCCGTGGCTGCTGCTGACCTTTACATCCCCAAACAGTTCTCCCTTGTTTGCAAGCATGGGGTCCAGCAGTGTCTCCCCTTGTCGGCTCCTCAGACGTGTTAGGAAGTTGTCATTGATGCACTTCAGAAAATTTCTGGGTCTTGTCCCTCCAGCAGGTATTGGAGTGGTTGAAGTCCCCCATGATGGCCAGTGCCTTTGAACACGAGACTTCCTCTAGCTGTCTGAAGAAGGCCTTGTTTACTTCTTTCTGATCGGGTGGTCTGCAGTGGACACCCACAGCGGTGCCAGCGTTGGTCTGTCTGCTAATCCTGACCCATAAGCTCTCAGCTGTCTCGTCATTGATCCCCAGGCAGAGCTCCATGCTTTCCAGCTGCTCTCCCGCGTGAGGGGCGATTTTCCCCTCTTCGTCGTGGGGAGTCTCCCACCACTTTGTCCTGGTGCTGCTGCAGGGCCCGGGTGCTTCGTTCAACAGAGCTCCTAGCCCCTTACCTGCTATGAGGGTGCCAAGTGTCCTCCACGGTGGCTAACCAGTAGGTGAAGCAGGAGCTGTTCTCCTGATGCCAGAAGCCACGAGTTTCCCACCTTCACCATCACAGGAGTCTCCTCCTGCAGCTCCTTCACACGGTCACCCAGATCCTCACCAAGTGCAGCCGAGGAGGCTCATCAGCACAGCTCATCCAGTTACTCTCGTAGCCACTGAATGGCAGCTAGCTCACGGTCGAGAGACCCAAGTGCATCCAGCAGCCCCACAAGGAGACTGCTTCGTTGAGGCTGCGCGCAGCGTTCTGCTGCTGCCATCTGCCCGTCTGGTACAGAAAGTCCCGCAGCGAGCCTGAGCCCCGCGCTCCTGGCCAGGTGTGACAGTGAGATTGACAAAATATTTCGGAGGTTCAAGTAATGGTCTGTTCTTAATGCATTGCGATCTACCTGATGCTTGTGGCACCCGACTGTAGACCTCCTGGTCAAGTCTAACTTCAGAATGGAGTTGTGTGAACCTGCACTCAGCAGATGTCCTGTCACAGGCTGCGAAGTCTGCTTGCGGTGTGGAGCTGCCCAGGCCAGGACATCGGCGCTGACTCTTTTAACAGCTTGATGGGTTGGGTTTAGTTCAACTTCTTTTTTTTTTTTTTTTTGTAATTCATCAATAGAATTGGTAGAATCCCTCAAATTGGTTCATTTTTTTTTACTAAGTGGAATGAAGATTGCAGCGTAGGATCACTTACTGATAATAGCATCTTGCAAGCCTGAGTTTTACCTCTCTTTCAGAAACTTTCCTTCTTTTTCTTTTTTTTTTTTAACGTGCTGATCTGTGTCATGAAATGTGTGCTCCTTAGAGGAGAAGCAGCACCTAATACTCCTGCATTTTAAATAATTTGCTGCCAATGATTTGTCTCCCTGCTTATTCTGTCTGTAAGGGAGGAATAGTGTTCTAGCACATATCTAAAGGCAACTTAACTAGCAGCCCTTGGAATAATATTTTCTCTTGCCCAGTGGATTTCTCAGTGTATTTAGAATAGTTGCGCCTGTGTCATGTTTCCCGAACCTCTGCTTTTTGCAGATGTTTTGTATCTCCCTAAGTATGCATATGAGTAATCTTATTTTTCTGTTTCTGAAGATTTAATTCATGCTGTTGTATAATCATCTTTTTTTTTTTTTTCTTCTTTTTTTTAATCTGTCCATGGAAGGTTTGGCAGGAAGAATGTGCTGTTTGCAACTCTGGCAATGCAGACTGGCTTCAGCTTCGTACAGGTCTTCTCTACCAGCTGGGAGATGTTTTCAGTGTTCTTTGTGCTAGTCGGCATGGGACAGATATCTAACTACGTGGCCGCATTTGTTCTCGGTATGCAAGTCCTGCTGGGCGCAGTATGCGTTCTTTAGTCTTGTGCTTTTCCTGTTCCTTTTCAGTACTGGCTTAGGGTTGATTTGTTTTGCCAAGCAGCGCTGTTAAGAGTGTGTCCTCACCATGCATGGATAACTCATGCTCTCCTTGGAAGTTTCCAGTTGATAGAAGTGCAATCTGAATTAAATCTGTGGCTTACCATCCTAAAAAGGCAAAAAACCCAGAAATTGATTATTCGAAACAAAATCTGTCTTCCAGTTGGAAAGGTAAGACGTGTAAGACATGATTTTTCAGGGATTTGTGTTGTCCATTTTGGGGCCTAAATGCCTAATTGATGTAAAAACTTGTTAAAAAAAAAAAAAATCAAGCGTTATAAAGTCTCCTTAAAACAGCCTATAGCAAAAAATTAAATGGCATAATGATTCCTGCTTCGTCTATTTTCAATTTAACTAAGACCATATTTGATCAGGTGGGAATGTGAATTACCGTATGAATCTGAGATTTTTTTAAAAAAATAAGTGTTTTTTGACTAATGCTACTTACTACGTAGCCTCGCTGTCCAAAGTACCAAATGTTGGCAAGAAATTCCTTTTGGGCCAAAGAAGAGCAGTGCAGCTGTGACAACAGTGTTTAGCTAACCTCACCGCAGACATCCTGCTGCAACTTCTGTAATCTTCTTCCATTTCTGTGGAAATGAGGAAGATTATATCTCTTACAATGTCTCTTGATTTGCAGGTCCCAAAGCATTTCCAAGGGAAGCATTGGTCCCTGTTAGTGCATTTAATTCCCCTGCCAGTAGCCTGGCCTTTGTTAGCGACCCTCCACATGTGTACGCCAAAATACAGCAAGATTTTTGGCTAATAGCTATTTGGCTAATAGTCCTTTAGAAGGCAGTACAGGTCAGGAACCTAATTTAGGCATCTCCTGAATTATCCTTTAAAGAAGCTGGTCTCTCTCCATAAGCTGGAGAGGACCCTATGGGGATCAAGCTGAGGCTAAGTGTTGTGAATGTTTTGTAGTATGTCAGGTGGTTTTAGCTCCTCAGGTAGAATGGGAGATTCTAAGAACATAGAGTTATAGAAGTTTTAGCTACTTTGAGCTACACAAATACTGTATGGCCCGGTTCTCTTCCTTTTCTGTTTGCCTGGGCTGATGCGGGATCACTGCATGAAGCAGGTCTGCGGTGCCTCTAAAACTGGCTGGCAGAGCGCGCTACGTACTGTAACTACCCAGTGTAGTGTATTTCAAAGCCAATCGTTAGAGCTGTTTTCGGTAAGTTACTTGGTTGCTATTAAGTTAAAATATTAATCTTCACTCTGTTGTTTTGAACAGGCACAGAAATTCTTGGCAAATCAATTCGCGTGCTGTTCTGCACGCTAGGCGTTTGCATATTTTATGCATTTGGCTACATGTTGCTGCCACTGTTTGCTTACTTCATCAGAGACTGGCGGATGCTGCTGCTGGCACTTACTTTACCTGGGCTGCTCTGCATCCCGCTCTGGTGGTGAGTATAACTAATTTAAAAGACTTTAGTCTTTAGAAGGTCCTGTCTGCAGATTTTTAAGATCCAGGCTCCAAGCCAACCAGCCTTTACCGATGAAATTCAGGAACGGGCAGGTGAAGAATGGATGTTGTGTCCTTTACTCTTCCCAGTTGTTTAACTGCAAGTCCATAGCTTTGTGGGTGATCTGACTTATGCCTGAAAAGCCTATTCTTCATTTTCTGTAGGCTTCTATAAAATTAAGTGGTGCACATGCAAAGGAAAAAAAAAAAAGTCAATAAAACTCATCCTTCTGCACCAACTGAAATCCATGAACTTTTAAGAGTAGGCCTGAACTAAGGGCAGAAGGAGAAACCAGTTGTTTTGGGAAGCTGGGCAATGCTAGGGTGACATAGATACGACAAGCTACAAAACAGTAGTTGCACATCTGCGAGGCTTCCATGTTTTCTTCCATAGTTAATGAAATACTACTTTCGGGTGGCATGTAAAGTTTAAATAGTCCACATGGTGGTGGTGTTTCTTCACTTACACTGGCATTTGTTTGTGATTCCATCCAGTTTCTTACAAAGTTGAATGACTCGGGCAAATTCTACTTTCTGACTTATATAACAGTATTTACAGTTACTAATTTTATATGTGTTATTCTCTAAGGATATGCCTCTTAATGTACAGCATGCTGCTTGTGTATTCACATTTCTGAATTTCTTTAATTAAACTGTTTTCCCATACTTTGAAGGATGGGAAAATTGAGCGTACTTTGGTTGCTCTTTTTTCTGAGTCATGGCTTATTTCTTTAGTATTTCTAAAATCCACAAGCACATTTTAGTCTGTTCTTGTTCAGTATGCTAGTCTGCTCTTGTAAATCTGATTTCTGTTGTCATTGCTTTAATGTCTGCACAATATGGCAAGTTTCGAGCTCTTCATGCCTGGAACAATGCGTAGTGGTGCCTGCAGCAGTGCTGTCTATGGAAATGCAGGCTCCTTATTCTGAACCTTGTTTGCAGGGTCATTCCGGAATCTCCACGGTGGCTGATCTCCCAGGGAAGATTTCAAGAGGCGGAAGACATCATCCGAAAAGCTGCAAAAACTAATGGCCTTACAGCCCCAGATGTAATACTTGACCCTAGTGAGGTAAGATTCATTCAGCAGTCCAGTTGACCGTGTAAAGTGATTAATTTACAGACATATCAATTGAGTTATGCCTGCAGTGTATCACGTACTTCTCAAATGGGTAAAAGGTCATCCTTTTCCTGAAAAGCAGAATACCCTTTCCCCACTTCGTTAAGATTTGCAAAGCCCTTGCTGTCCCGTTCCCATGGGAATGCCAACATGCATTCTAATGTAAACATCTTTTTGATCCGGTTTACTGCCACCTTTTTCCTTTTAAACTCTAGTTTTTGGGGGAAGGTAATGAATTTGAGGTACCTATTGCTTTGTGATCTAAATACTTGCACTAAACAGATTTTATGCTTGTGCAGTCTAGTATAGTTCTGTAAAAGTCTAACACAGGACTAATCCTGGCCAGTGGCAGTGGAAAGAATGTCATTCTAGTTCAATTCCATATTCAACTCCAATTTCTACTCCATGTTAAGGAGAGCAAAACTTGAGCTCCTTTCAGGTGGAGTAGCTAGCAGTATCTTTTCTTCCCCATCTGTTCCTTCCAGCATGTTCTTGTTTCCTGTACGTAACCCCCATTTGTCTGAGCTGTTGGTGACCTTAAGATGTAGAAGCAGTTCCACACTCATTCAAACATGAACTCCAAAAACCAGACAGACAAACCGTTTGCATAATCCAGGAGAATGGGTGCCGCTCTAGGCAGTTCTGTAGAGTTGAGTCTGTCTGGGCAGTCACCTAATCGTGTTCTGGTTGACAATTGACATTGTCTTGTGTTTTACGTGAAAATACCTTGTATATTCACTTGCTTTACAAGGGCCTCTGTACCAGACTAAGGAAAATGGTTAGCCATTAAACTGTAGTGTGTTTGCTATTGAGATTGAAACAGCTTCACTTGGGCTGAAGTTAGCTGAGGTGCAAACAAATCTGTTTGTCCAGACTTCTTTGTAGATAGTAGGACAGGCATCCTGGTCTTGCTGGAACAGAGTGAGAATGCCAGGAAAACCCAGACCTTCTTATGAGCTTTTTCCCTGGATTTTCATTAGCACACGCTTTTTTTCCTTCTTTTTGATCCTTCCTTCTTACGCTGTAGGCATGAAAACTTGCCCATTGCCAGCACTACAGCAGAAGAAGGGAAAACAAGCTCCAACATCTGCTTAAGGTCACTGTTCCTGGAATCCTCCATCTCCCATTCTTTGAAAGAAATACTGTTTGTCATCTCTGAATGGGGCTGGATTATGAAGCAGCAGAAGGCAGGGGCAAGAGTAGGGATGTTGCCCCAGGGAACACTGGACGAGGGGAAATGCTGACTTCTGCAGCAGGGTGGGCTGGAGTACGCAGTGCTTATTTACAGATAAATCATTGGACGTCAACTTTCAGAAACACAGATTGACATTCTGACACTGAAAGGAAAATGAGCTCAATGAACAGACACTGTTTAAGTGCAGAACTCCTGCCCATCTTTTTACTTTCTAAGGTAAAAGTTATGCTGTGACCAAAAAAATCGGTGCAAAACTCTTCTTCATCAGTGGTCTGTTTACGCTGTTCTTTTGTCTGCTTTCTGAAGAGCTGTAAAGCAGAAGGCTCGCAGCCTCTCTTGAGGTTTTTAGGAAGCATGTTTACGCTGCAGCGAGGTTCTCGGAAATCTAACTGGCCCTTAGCCCTTGTGCAGTTGGAACGTGAGTTCTGGATGGGGAAGCAACCTGAGCTCATGTTTGGAGTATTCCTCAAACCCATGCAGCTGGAGAGCAGCACCTGCAATATTGATGCTCCAGAGATGTCAAAACCAGTTAGGATCGAGCAGGTGACTAGTCGCAAACAAGCTGCGGAGCACAAATAGGGCCTGGTTGGCTGAATTATCCCATATGAGGGGGATAGAAATGTTTGGATGATAGGTTTAATTTCAAGTCATCGTTTTACGCTCCCTGCCCTTCTCATAGCTTCTTGTTCTAGCCTGTCCTGCTAAGAATTATGTTGTCTGATTATCCAGCTCCTAAAAGGCAAGGGTCCTTTCTTCTCATCAGCTGTGACTCTCAGAATGTTACTGTTCCTGGGTTTGTTTTGCGGTTTGTTTGTTTTTTCTCCTTTTTTTTGTTTCCTGTTTGCTGGTTTCCTGGAAACGAATAGTGGCAAAACTGGAGAGTACTTAGGAAAGATCATGTGATTTATGAGAAAGGGCTGTGAGCTGTAAAGCTGACTGCAGTTTGTGTTGTGGGAGGTTTGGCTTCAGGCAGAGTGAAAGCTATCAAATGTAAAGAACTGTTTGTTTTTCACAGAAAATGAAGATTTGTGAAAGCAAATACACTGAAGTTTGGCGTGCATGAGCATCAAGGCCACTGTTTTATCCTCCAGGTCTTCAGAACAAAATATCACTCAGAAAGATTTTTCACCTGACTGCAGGGGTTACATAAACTTCATGTTCCCATTAGCTCAGATACAGTTTACAAGACATTGAGGAGATTAATGTGTATTTTGAGTTGAGGGACAAGAGTTAAGGGCACCAAATCAGTGTCCAGCAACTAGCTTGCCAAAAGAAACATCACTAACTGAACACGGAAGAGAGGTTGATGAGGTTGCTTTTGTCTCTTTATTGGTGTGTTGTGTCCTGCAATACATCCAGCTACTTCTGCTGGACCAGCCTGATGTTTTAGGGAAAAAAGTATTGTAAGTTGAACTAATACAGAGTAGAGGTTGGCATATTAGACCAGGCGGAAAGAGTTCAGAAAAGTTTAAAGTAGTGAGTAATTGCACTGTTTTGAAGCTGCAATCATAGTTTACTTTTATTGATAAACGTTTGCACATACCATGAAGCAGTACACAGTGCCAGCAAAAGGCATTCAGTCTTTAAACATATTAAAATTTAATTTGGCATTCTCAGGTCACGCTGACTTAAAAAGTCAAGGGAGGAAGTAATCTTTGTATACAGTTTATTGTGCTTGCACATAATAGAGGTCTGTCAGGCAAGAGTGATTCTTCTAGTTGTGGAAAGAGAAGTCTTCACTTAAATATCGTGAGGCGTCTTGGCAGCTTACAATTCAAAAAGTGTCAAAATTAAAAATATTTCAGTATTACCTTTTTTCATTTGATAATTTTGAGCTGCTAAGGTGGATGCTTGTTTCTTTCCTGGTTAGATTGCTAACTGTTGATAGAGTCACAGATTCAGATAGATACAAAATGTCCTAACAGAAAAAAGACTCTCTGTGGAAGATTGTAAGATCAAAATCTTGTTAATGTTCTTAGTGTAAGACTGCTAAAAATACCATTAAACTGATGAGTAAGTAGCCTGTGATAAATCCTGAAAACATACCATCTTTTGCAATTAAAAAAAAAATTACGTATAGAAAACTCTGGTTCTTCAGCCATATAGTGTTGCTTTATCAGAGTTGATAGTTTTAATCAATGGAACTTGTCCTCTTAAATCACCTTTTACATATTTTGAAAAATCTCTCCCTTGTTACTCCCTGTTAGGGGTCCAAATTGAAGACCTAAATTTAAAAAACCCTTAAATTCTTCCCTTTTTTACAATCTTATCGAGCACAAAACTTGTTCGCATGCTTCATGGGTGAATATCTTTGCATTGTTTACATGGAAGTGGTTTTATTTTGAGGAGCTGGAAAAGTTACAGGGGGAAAGAAGTTTGTTTGGGTTTTTTTTTGCTTATAGTCCTAGAAGAAGGTCTCAAAACCAGGCTAAATAATGATGGGGACTGTTCAGCTCATTGGCCAATTTGTCTCAGTTTAAATACATTACTGTTAGGTCCAGCATGAGGAGTCATTTACTAAATCTGTCCTGCTGCAGTTTAATGTTGTTATTTCTTGCCTTGTCTGCAGTGGACATAGAGGACAGTTTATCACTTTTTTTGCTGGTCTTTGAAGACCATTCTTGGTCTTTTAAGACTCCTTCCATCTTCTGGCCCTTAGGCTAAATAAACCCTCTGCTTTCAGACTTTTACAGATGACATTTTTCAAATGTCTCATCATCCTTGTTGCTCTCTTCTTGTCTGGGTGCAGTTGATTTGCACGATCCTCAAGGTGCAGTCCTCAAACCTGGATGTAAGAACCCTGCCAGTAGTGACACATAAATCGGAAATTAATGTTGTTGCTTTATAATTCAAGTATAAAAGTAACAATAAGCAGTTGCTTTATGGAGCCTCAGGCAGAGAAGATGATTACAAATTTCAGCCTAAATTTTAAGTGACTTTAAATAAGGGAGGAGCAACTACTTTCACAGGTAGTTGGCTCTTGTGGCTTACACGTGGTCGGTTAAAAGTGAGGCACCTGTTTCAACTCTGCAGAATATCAAAATACTGATGTATAAGTTGGGGGGGGGACTTATTTGCACAGCAATTCTGCTTTCAGGAAGTTAATGTTCCCATGGATTTTTTTGTTTGTTTGTTTGTTTTTCCAGCTGCAAGATTTGAATTCCCAGAAGCAACAGACGTACACCATTTTGGATCTAATGAAAACCCGAAATATCCTAACTATCACAATTATGTCAGTGATTCTTTGGTAAGCAAGTGTGGTTAAGGAGTATGCAAGCACAAAAGCAGGAAAACAATTAAAAACTGCTCTTTGAACACTAAGGTATTCTGAAGAGATATGGACAAAACCAGCTCAAAAACCAATAACCTGCTGGCTGAAGCAACAAAATTCTGGTTACGTAGGTTCTTCATTTCAGTAACAGTCTAGAAACATCTGGATTGTTATTTCTTTCTGAAGCAGTCAGGCGTATTCTGAACTGAGCAAGAATCAGATCAGCTGGCAATGATGTGTGGGAATCCTGCCTGATACTGGGCCTTGGGGAACCCTCATCTGACTGTAACGAAGTCTTTTAAGAGGAATGAGTCATGCCCTGTCCTCCAGTCAGAGGACTACTGCCCAGGGGTCTGAACTCCTCGATGCCTGACTTAATGGGGAGAATCTTCCCATCTCTTTTGTGTTGTCTCTTAAAGGGATAAAGCTTCCTTTGAAGTTCTAATCTGAGATTTCCCTAGACCTTCATGCTAGCTACTCTGTCTACCTGCCATCTTCAGTTTGGTTTTACACTAGCTGAAGCCATACTTTATGCTCAGTTTGATGAAACAGTTGTCATTTTCCTTTACTGGAAATCTCAGCGAAGCTGTAATTGCTCAGAAGAGAGAAAATGGAGAGGGTAACTTATAGCCTGCCGTTATAGGTTATAAAAGTGAGGTTTAATTAGTGCGTGTAGCTACAGCGTCCTAACCAAGAAGGTCCCTCAAGTGCTTTGGAGCTAACTGAGTCTATTTGCTGCCTTTTTGGACAATGTTCCTGTGCTTTAGTGAGGCAAAGCCTTGGAGTTCAGTCCACTGAGCTGCCAGTGTGTACAAGCTGATGTGGCTTTTTGGGTCAAAGGATGACTTGGCTAATATTTAAGCCAGATTCCCTTGCCCATCACCAAGGACAGTGCTACAAACACACTGGGAAAGGAACTTGAGCAGAAAAACAGCTCAAAAAAGAAAAGTAATGTTGGTTCTTTGCAGAAATGTCGATACAGTTTCCGTATACTGTTGTTTTAACCTCCAAGTTGAATTGCTGACTCTCACCTTTAATTGGAAGTGAGCTAGAGAATTGGGACCGTCCTACTTCTAATCTGCATGGAGTAGATCAGTAGCGAGTTCCTAGGCACAGCTGATTTTGCGTGTGTGGTTGTAGAAATCAAATGCAAAACCTCTTTGAACAGCATTTCTGGTAGGACAAAGCATCTGAGAGAAACAGAGTGACGTGGCAGTATGTAAACCATTCCATGTGCTGAAGGGCTTTTTACCACATGATAAATGAAGTTTTATGATAGGCGGGAAGACTCAAACATGTGCAACTGACTTACACATTCTTACCTCCTCTTGCAGAAGAGTATTCAGTTGATTTGGGCAATTTTTCCACTATTTTTACCTTGCATGTCAGTTGCCTAACCTCCTTTTAATTAATTTCCCAAAATATAAAGCATCTTGTGCTGACTCACAGCAATGTTTTCCAACCCATAGTATACCGATGGTATATTCTGCGATATGAATTGAAAGATCTCATAAAAGACGCTCTGTAAAAGAGGATGGTTGCAGATAGCGGTATATCACCTTTACATATTGCTGAGTGTTTTGTTAATTTTGAGTAAGTCGAAGGCTTTTAAACTAATCCCTTTGCTGGGTTTGCATCAGGAAGGAGGAAGTTTGGCTTCTCGTCACCCTGGGATGTGTAAATACCCGTAAAGTTTTCATAGAAGATGTATAACTGTATCAAGGTTTGCCAGTGGGATAAGCTAAGGCAGACTGCTGCTGAAAGTGAGTTCCAGCAAGCACAGTTTATTATGTATAAAAATAACTCCGAGGAGCACAGGGCTGGGCATATTGTACAGCATTGTGGAAAACACTGCATAACTACTTTTGAGAAGAATAGCTTTAGCCGGCGGGGCACACGCAGCAGTGGGGGGGTTACCCTCAGCTGTATGACTTCATACCTTCCCAGGTATACTAGGCAACTTGTTTTAAGCAATTGGACTGTGAAGGCTCTTCCCACGTGAACTGAGGAGGAGGAAGAGCTAATCTTTGGTCAGTGATCCGCTTTGTGCTGTGCAGTGATTTTGCTCCAGGTTCTGTTCTAACATAAATGCTGAAGGAGATGAAGTGCTGAGTGCTCTGTACCTCGCCAGTGCACCTGGACCCATTATTTCCTTGTTTACCGCACATTGCTTGTTGGTGAAGCATAACCTTCTCTTCCCAGCATCTCCCAAGACACGACAGGATTTGTCTCCAAGGCCAGGTGTGTGTTTCCCTTGATCACGTGGAAGCCAGTTCTCATCTGGCAGTGGCACAGTTAAGATGGCAGCATTCCCAGGCAGCAAGCTCTGTCCTGCTACACTGACCAGCCCAGGCACCGAGCCATGCAAATGTGACTTGGATCCTGCCCAGCCAGCTTGGGGCATGGCAGAGAAAATCCTGGATTGTTTGGGTCTGCCAGGATGCCATACTCCTCCTCTGTGACTTTATACACAAAGCATGGAGGGTAATGACCCAGAAACAATGTTCTCCACCCAGAGCGCTCTGGTAAACATGATGAAAAGGTGCTGTAGGCCTCAGCAGCAGTAAAATTCAGTAGTCCAAACTTTCAGGCTAAAGCCATAACTACTAGTAATAGGAACTGCTGTATCACTGCATAGTGAGTGATGATCACTTATCTCCCAGGGGTGACCTGAAATACGGAGGCATACGGAGAAGTAGTCAGCCCCTCTCCATCAGCGTGACTAGCAGAGACAAATGAGATGTCTAAAAGTGACAAATACCCAGACCTTCCTTGCGAGGTCTGCATGAGAGTGGGATGGACAGTTGCAAAGTCATGCAATGGCATTGGCAAAGAAGAATGACCACTATAGCTGCATGATCATCCAGCACTGCTGGGCTCATAGGCCTGTGCCTCAGCAAGGCTAGCAACAGCTCTGGAGTTACCTAATTGCATTAATGCTGAATAGGAATTTTTTTTTTTTAAATATATTCCTTGAATTCAAGAGAAACTTGAAAGATAAAAAGCATCAGCACTGTGTAATTGTTATCTTGCTGTTTCTGAAGTCAGCACTTAAGATGTTTCAAAGGTGAAAGAATCTGGCAGATGCTGAATTTGCCTTACATAGTGATTTCTGTGCTTAACAGAGGTTCAGGGCAACCTCGGGAAGAAGAGAAAACTGTCTGATCCTGTTATTCTGTTTCTTTCAGGATGATAATCTCTGTTGGTTATTTTGGACTTTCTCTTGACACACCTAACTTGCATGGAGACGTCTATGTGAACTGCTTCCTCTCGGCAGTGATTGAAGTTCCAGCCTACGTTATTTCCTGGCTGCTGCTTCGAAATCTCCCTCGACGGTATTCAATGGCTGCTGCGTTATTCTTGGGAGGCTGTGTTCTTCTCTTCATTCAGCTGGTGCCTTCACGTATGGAATCATTAGTTGATCTCAAATACGTATGATAGGTGAAGTGCAGTACCACGCACTGGGCAGATGCGGAGGAAAAGTGTCCTGAGGGGACTAAATACAGATATTCGTTCCCTATCTCTGTCCCTCTTCCTTGGTTCTCAGTGCTGCTGCACAGGGAGCTCACACAACTTGTCAATTCAGATACGTTTTTAAAGGTGGGTCGTTGGCTTTGTGGTCTGTTGGGATCAGCTCTGTAGTCCAGTTTTGCTTTAATGTGCACCCCTGGCAAGGTGCCCTGGTAAGGTGCAAGTGTAAAACCAGGACTAGACCAACCAGAATTTGGTCAGCAGAGGTTACCAAGAAGCTGCAGAACTTCCCAAACAACTGTAAATGACTGTCTCTTTATGGCTTGTTTAAACAGTTATATTTGAGGGAGTCATTGTGGAAGCATTTTTGATAAGCAAAACTGCTTGCACTGAATTAGTGTTGATAGTTAAAATAATGTTTGGCAACTGGAAAGGAGGACAAAATAACACTCATTGGATACCAAACCATATGTATCTTTAGGCCAGTTAGATTAAGGGGGTTATGGACTCTTACTGGTAATGCTGTTGAATATGATGGGGGGGTGTTGTTGCTCAGCACTTGTTTACATATCAAAGATGAAACAAAAGAGAATGCACAAGAAGTGCCTTGTTTATTTTATACAGGTAATGCATGTGTTGCATTCTCTTTCTCCAGTCCTTTGAATCAATTGGACACCGATATGATCTGTTTTGATTTTCAGATCTAACTGTCCCAGTTAAAGTCAGCTCGGCTTCCTGTAATTAAATTATTGACTTGTAGCTAGCAATGTTCCTGAGAAACCAGAGCAGGAAACCAAAAATAACTTGTTTCAAATGTTTAACTTTGTTCACCTTATCAAAAAGGGATATATGGTGGTGTTTGCAATAGCAGAGATCTGGCCCCTGAAATCTGAGAGGACCTCTCCAGTGCTTGCTCTCTTCTCCTTGTTTTTTACTTGGCAGGAAGCCCCATTCTCAAGGAAATGAAAATGTTGAGCGCTAGTAATTTAAAAATAAATAAATTTTTTAAAGTGTTGCCCATGCTTGTAGACATGTACAGAGAAAAGAAGACACCAGATACTGGAATTAATTAGGCAGGAGTTATACAAACACAATGGAATTAAGAGATGCCATGGATTGTCAGAGCTTTATTGAAATCCTTACTGCGTTTTGATTTCAGATATCCGTGCGCTGTCTATTCTACTAGTGATGTTAGGGAAATTTGGGATCACATCTGCCTTTTCAATGGTTTATGTTTACACGGCTGAGCTCTACCCAACAGTAGTGAGAAACATGGGAGTTGGAGCAAGTTCCATGGCCTCTAGACTGGGCAGCATCCTCTCGCCTTACTTCGTTTACCTCGGTAAGTTAACTCCTCTGCCTGCGCTGGGGAGGTGCTGGCAGGCGGGAAGCAATGCTTTTTACCCAGATCAGTGTGCTGCCACCGTGGGTCAGTGGGATTTTCCGACTGTTCTTTGTTTCCAGGTCCAGGTGTGTTGTGAAACTGCAGGTAAAAATGGGTTCTCAACATCTCCGAACAATGGTCATAACGTAGAGAAATTGTGTTTTATGCCCTCTTGAAGAGACGTTCGGAAGACTCACAATCTTACTGACTCAATAGGGACAGCTCTTACAGCTATTGTTTCACAGTCTCTTGAGTTCCTAAAACCACAGTTAAAACAATATATGCTTTGAATGCCAGACTGTGAGGGGGTTGGTTTGTTTTGTACTGAAAGCATAACTCTTACACAGATAAAGCCTTGTTCCTAGGTACAAACGTTATCGGAGACTTAAAGCTGAAGCTAGGGTGTTGGGGTTTTTTTTGTATCCTGCTAGGTGCCTATGATCGATTCCTGCCTTACATCCTGATGGGGAGCCTGACTGTGCTATCAGGAATTCTGACTTTATTTCTGCCAGAAAGCTACGGTATGCCTCTTCCGGACACCATTGATCAAATGCTGTTGGTGAAAGGGTAAGTGTCACCTTCTGATCTTAACACATCTGTTCTCTATCCTGAGAAGAGGAGCGGACTTGCCTAGGTACCGTCAGAGGGAGGGGGCTGGTTTTGGTAGTGTAGTCAGTGCTCTGTTGAAGCTCTAAGAGTTTGGCTGGAATCCTGGTCCCTGTTCCCAAGTGTGTATGTTCATATGTACATCTCTCGGCTCCAAATTTATCATTTTACTTTGAGGACTGAATAAAAGTACATATGAGGAATGCATTTGTAGAAATGTATTGCTTTATAAAGGTATAGGGACACTTTGTGGGTTATAATCTATTTTGCTAGGTTCTGAAAGTCCTATAAGCACTGGTGAAGGGCTAAACTCTTCCCATTTAGTTCAACTGACCTAAGAAGGCATCGCGAGCATCTGGCCTTTTGCCACGGCTCTGATTGAAGAGGGCACATAAGCATACACTAGTGTAAGAAAGGGACCTGTCCAACTGAAGTCAACAAGATATTAAAATTAGGAGGCTGTAATGTCAAATAGGGCTCAGGATATCAAAGATTTTTTTTTTCCTCTGTTCTCTCATCTATTTTTTAAGTTATTTTCTTTTCTCTTTCTGTCTCCCCCCCCGCCCCAGATTAGAATACAGGCCTGCACCTAGTAGCACAAGGGATTCCAAGGAGGAAGAAGAAAATCCAGAGATTTTTAAAAGCACAGCTTTTTGATGGAACTCCTGCGTACTTCCTGGTGAACTGAAAGTTAAATGGACTTTTCTTCTAAAATTCATTCTAGAAAGGGCTAGTGGCAACACTTTGTTTCCTGTAATTTTAACCTTATTTATTAATTTAAACACTGTGTTCCGTACATTCTCTTTTTATATGAACATAAATACTGTATAGCCTTCAATGAGACATTTCAGGCACAGTTGTTTTAATGCAGTAGAACCATGGAACAGTATCTGATCAATCCTTCATAACTTCAAGTGTATAGTTCAGCTGCAAGATACTTGAAAATTAGTTCAAGGGCTGGCAGGGAACCTGGATTCCTCAGTGAACCTTCTCCAGAGCTAATGCACATCAAGAAGTAAAAATTGCCAGAAAAAACTGCTAATTGGTTTTGATTCCTTGACTTCTGTCTCTGGACAGGAAACTTATTTATTATAGGGAAGGTTATGAGAACATGCCTCTCTGCAATCTTACTCAAATGACTTTGCACGTGCTGAATTTGTTACCAAATTCAGAAAGATGCAAAGAAAGATTTTGAGAATTAATTCTAACTTGATATGTTTTAACTCAACGTAGATTGAAAGGATTGTCTTGCACAAAATATTTGTAGCACTGAAGTTTTGCTCACAAAATTGATTGATTTGCTCACAAAATCACTTGATTCCAATGCTGGTTTTCAACTGTACCTGTATGGTGAAGTTGTTTCCAGGCCGTATTTATTTTAAATGATGCAAAAGGTTTCATCTGTGTGTGGAGGGAGCGGTGTTAGTTTGGGGTTCTTCCATTTCGATGTGTGTTGGAAGTTTTATGTCTAAATTGTTTTAACGTCTTTGGTGCAATTTGGATGAGGGAAACAATTCTGCTGCCTTCTGTGCTTTTCACACGTGCACATACACACGCACACACAATGAATGTATTTAGAGCTAAATTTTTGTGTTAATCTATGCCACTGCGTTGACCTCATGGTGGAATGTACTGAGAACTAAATTCAGAATATACTTCTCAGGTGCCAACTGTATGATTGCTTTGAGGTCTGTTATTTCACTTAACTCATGTAATCAGTGAATTGTTTTCAAATTGTTCTAGAAAAACCCACCAAACCTTGTTGACAGTCTGCCAAGAAATTGTTCCTTGGGTTGCAGAAGCACCCTCGGCATTACCTGTGTTTCTTTAAATATATATATGTACACTCAATCTCATTTGTGCTGTTCTGATCGTGCATTACATCATACTTTGACAGATGTGAGCGGTGAAAGATTTCTCTCTTGTGGCACTCGTTTGTGTGTGTTCTGTGCTGTAGAGACTTAATGAACAGAACCTAAACCTTTGTAGCCAAAGCCGTTAGGGGCCTTACTCTGCTGCGGCAGCTGGTCATGGAAGTTTTGCATTTTCCTACTGTATTTAAATACGTAGGTGGCATCAGCTGATTCCAGTCTTTTGTTAACCAATACCACATATTCTGTCCGTGATAACCAGCTCCAGCAGTCGGACTCATGCACTAGTGTGTGCCCTCCAGACGGCTTGTCTTAAAAACAAGAAAGTAGAAAAAAAAACTGCATAGGCTATAGTGGGTTTTTTTTAAACTCTTTCTACCAGTGTCTTGAGCTTTAGGGTTTGCTCCGCTTTCCCTGCATTTTCTCACCTGCTTGTGTAGTATTTTAATTTCAGGATGCAGCAGGATGTTGGCCGATCTTACCAGGTCAGAGAATGATACAGAGAAAGGTAGTTTTGTTGTGTCGTCAGTTCTTCTGAGGAGAGAGATCCCAACGTTTGGGCAGGTTCGGTGTCACTCCTGTTTAATAGGTTGACAGGCCCTTGGCAGATGGGTTTAAAATGCAGTGTGTGACTTGAAGCTAGCACAAAAATTGAGAATCTGGATTTTGCAAGCCTCACTGCACATCATACAATAGCCTTGACATGAGCAAATACGTGTCAGGAGAGAGCGTGTAACAGCCAGTCTCCCTTGCCCAAAGACATGATACAATTTGTCAGGCTTATCACCTTTTTTGAAATGTTCATTGCAAACTTAAGAATGTGTTCTAAAACTTGGTACAGATATTTTTCTTTGTAAGCCTTGTTTCTAGGAACTGGAACATTTAGAAGCAGCAGCTTTTCTGTGTGTTGTAGAAGAATTATCTGATAACCGCAGGGATCTGAGGCAAAACACACTTAGCTACAGCTTCCTTGTAATGGATTTGCCAATGTAAACAACCGTGTCCCATAAGTCTCTTCCTGTAAACTGTTTCAGAAAATACCCTGAAATGGAAGATACGTGCTTGCCTGATACATGATCTAGTATGGAAATTCCTGTCCTAAAGTGCAGAGTCCATTTAATGTCTGATTTAGCTGTAATTTCTTATCCACTGTTTTATCCAGGTATGTGCCTTGACAGTGAGACTTTTGTTCTTGAATAGTTACATATTCTGATATTTACTGAAGATTTTGTGAGGGGTTTTGTTGTTTTGTTTGGGTTTTTTTAATCCAGTCAAATTGGGGAATTTCCTGGTTATGACTAATCCTACAAAACACAATGGCAATCTCTTTGTGTCCAAAAAAATACATTTTTTTCCTTGCTCATCTTTTTTTAAGAACAAAAAGTATGAGTCAGAAATGTAGAATATATTTAATATAGCGTCCTAGGTTATTTTGTATTTACTTTTTTATCCTGCCCTTCTCAAGTTTATCTCTAAGACAAGGAGCTTGTTCTAGTGGGTAGACAGAATCCAGCTAATACGTATTACCAAAAGAAATTGAGGGGATATTTTAATGTAGGCAGGTGATCTGATCTGCGCAAATAAGATGAGAGGAACTGACCCAGTAATTGGCAAATCTGAGAGTGGTATCAGTGCTGGCAACAGGTAAGATTTGCAGCACTAAGTGTGGCTGTGGATACCTGCAGGACAAAGCGCTGGTGCCGCGCCGTGCCTTGGCTCTGAAAGGTGTCTGCCGAGTGCCACGTTGTCAGACGTGACTGACTCCTAGACAGCGTATGGTATCGTCAGTAGACACGTCGGCACGTCGCTTTGCGTTACGCTGATGCGACGCAGGATTGGGACCGACTTTCTGAGACTCTGCTGTAAACGGACCACTTTGTAACGGACGTTTTTGAGGCGTGTTTCACTCACCCCCGCGGAGCTGTTGTGCGAGTGTCGTGAAATGAGTCACGGTCCACGTGGGAGGTGCTTCTCTCGGCCTCGTGGTGGAGGAGGGATGCACGGGACAGCCTTGAATCCCAAGGTGAAGTCACACACAGATTGTCCCTTCTGTAAAGAGTTGGTGGGTTTTAGTACCAGTATTTGAACGCACCTAGACACCGGTCTTGCCTAGTGTGCTGGCTAGTGGGGAAGGGCCTGTTCTGCTGCTCTCGGGGAAGGCCAGAGCTTTTGCTCCTGTTATCCTCAAAGAAGTAGGGAGTGACACTTGGTAAGGGGGAAGGGACAGAATTTGCCTTTGAAAGAGGAGTTGTGATAAACCTATGAGCTCCTCGTACTGTGGAGGAAGATAATACAGACTTTGACATTCAGGCTAACCTTAGCCTGGGAAATACTGAATGGTTTTGGTGCCCATAACCTGCATTACAGCGGCAACACAGGTTACACAAAACTATGTGGTTAGGCAAAATTCTCTGTTGCTAGAGAACAGTGCACACTACAGTGTCTTCACCAAGGAAAACAGCATACGGCCTCGAGTTGGGAACTAGGATCCCTTCCTTTCCAGCTTAGACTGACTTCTTTCATCGTCTGGCATGTCGCATGATCCTGTGACTTCAGTTTCTTTGCTTGCAAGTGGAAATACCGTTAACTCAAAAGGAACCCTAATTTCTTGTGATGTTCATGCTCCACAGTCTGCATTTGTTAGATCCTCTGACTCTCCTGACGGTGAATGTAATGCTCACATGAACATCATTTAGTATTTCATCGTTCAGAAGCAGGCAACTTTGGATGACTTCCAACACCATTTTTGTTAAGAGGTGTGATCACCTCCTCCCCTGTTTCCAAGTTACCATTTGGAAGAAGAAAGCACAGGGAGGTGGTGCATTGCCCAGGGAATTGGACTGCAGTAAGTCAAGCAAGGATTGGGTTTTGAATGCTTAATCATACTGTTGTAATTGCACAGCCCCTTCATAGTTCTACATGAAGCTGCCTGCAGCGTGCCGCCTGTGAGGAGGGGCATTACTGAACGTTTTCACTGTGCGCCTAACTACATTGCAAAAATACCGTTCTCTTCAGAGGACTTTCATTTTGAGATACGGTGATGCTAATATTGTATTGCTGACCCCATGGAATTTGGGATTAACGTGAGTTACACCCATCTCTGCTTTACAGCCGGTTCCGTTCTATAGCGTCACCCAGAGGGGCTCTTCTTTTTAATGCTCTCCAGGGGCCTATGCACATGAGTACAGTAAGCACGTGAAGCTGGTGGGCCTGTCTCTGTGAATAAATACCTATTTCAGTATTTGTAGAATAGAACCTTAATCCTGGCAGTTGTAAACGGTTTTCTTAAAGCATAGAATCAGCTCAGGCACCATAATGCCTTACTTGCAAATGCCTTTGGGGGTACTTTAGACTAGTAATGGCCACAGCCTTGTATATAGAAAGATACAGAAATTTCTTCTAAGAATGTACATATTCCTAGCTGTAACTAAATTGATTCTTACCCTAGTTTTTTTATAGAAAAATGCTTGTTATTTGTAAAGTTCAGAATAAAATCATATCTGGAATTATCTTTAAAATGAAGTATTCTCATAAATTTTTTTGTGTCTTCATGTTTTAATGTGTTATTTGCGTAACAGAGCTGCTACTTCTTTTTTTTGTGGTCTTGTAGGCTTTACCCTTAATCTTGTATTATATATAATGACTTTTTTCCATAATTTTTTTTAAATATTTGTTCTAAGCAAAGAGGTGGTCTGAGTAACTGGAGCACTGTCTGCGGCTGCTGTCCGTGAAAGAGGTGAATGGGAGGTGGGTGCTGGAGCAGCAGCGTGGGCACTTGCTTCCTCTCCTCCCTGCGGCGAGTGATCTGCTGAAAGGTCGTCTTGTGGGTCCTCTTCTGGTGGGGCGTTTTCCAAATGCCAGCAACATGGAGAACGAGTAATTCAACATTTACTTAGAAATGGCAGGTTATTGAAAAATTGCAAGGAGTTTCTCTAAGGTGCTACTTAAATGTTTGTAGCAAAACTGGATGGCAGTCTTCACGTGGCCCGAGACAAGAAGCCGTGCAAACGTTGTCGCTAGGTGCAGTCCCTGGGGTTTTGTGGGGTTCTCCCACACATGCTACATTAAGCTGTACGCTTGTAGATAAGCAGAAGTACCACGGGCAAGGTCAGCTGAGTTTCATGTACTAGGAGGTTTAAGAAACAATTTAGGGACTCTGCCTATCACTGCCTGGTTTTTCTTACTCAATGATTAGCACTGGGCCCATCTTGTACCTGGTACACGCAGGTCTGGGTTATCTGTAAAAATCTTTGCCCATCTTGTGAAGAAATGGCTCCTCTGAGTTTGGACCAACCTCCACAACTACCTTTAAGACCTGGGCCACTTCTATTCTTCTAATACATTTTCTTACTTCCTTTTAAATAAATGCAGTAAAACAGTAAGGAAGTATGAAGATGAGATAATGGGGCAGCAGGAAAAAAA